TGTGCAACGCATCATCATCACCCCCTTCTGGTCAACCTTCTGGCCAACGACAAGGTACCGATACATTGGGAACCTTCCCCTGAACGTATCTTGCATCTTGCACCTCGTGCGAAGCAAGCTCATGCTGGCTCCCCTGTGCCCTACCCATCGCGAGTCTCCTTGGCCCCGCTCTCGACCCTCGACCCGGTCGTCTGTCGTGACCCCTTCAACTTCTCCCTACACAACCTCCTCCCGCCTCTGGCACCTGTGGTCTGCCTCCCACCCACCAACCCCCCTTCCCTTTCCCCCCCGACCTCGAGCCGCACGCCCCTGATGCCGCCATCCCTCGCGAACTGGCCGCCGAACGCCCGCATTCAATCGCATTTAATTGCGTTCAATCGCGTCGAAATGCGTTCAACGGCGTTTAAACGTCGTCGCCCGTCGATGTGCAGATCCGCCGTCGTCGTCGCAGCCGCACGCGCATTCCCGCTCTCCTGTCGCTCCTGCTCCGCTCCAACCGTCTCTCTCTCTCTCTCTCTCTCTCTCTCTCTCTCTCTCTCTCTCTCTCTCTCTCTCTCTCTCTCTCTCTCTCTCTCTCTCTCGTCCGCGGGTTCAATGCAGGGGGGACCCGTTTGTCGCGTTGGAGCGTTATGGCTCGTGCGGCAAATGAGGTGCGGCCGAATGCAACGGCCTTCTTTAGTACCCGTTCGGACCGACGTTCCCCCTGCGTCCCCCCCCCGCAGACCGCCGAAGGTCGGTACCCTGCGAACGCCCTGCACGACTCAAAGGGGTTCACGTGGTTTTTTTATTTCTTTTATTTTAGAAAAAAAAAAAAAAGAATACATGGGGTGGTACCCGACAACGGACACTACTACCCCACACCTTCAGAACACCCGAACCCCCGCCTCAAACGCGCGAAACTCGGGTTAGCGGGCCCCGTTCATTCGCGTCCAAAGCACGTTTGAACGGGAATTGAACGCGAATTCAATGCGCGTTCAATTTTTCAACGTAGAACCCGCGGTGAATCCATTTTCAAACACACAGCCCACCACTTATAGCTCGAAGCGGACACGCTTCACAAGTTTCGGCGTCGCTTCTTTGGTCCATGCCGCATTCTCCAGGCCGTCGGTTCTAATACGGCATCTAGCCCGGTCAGCTTCCATGTGAAGCTGCCCGACTACCTACATCAACCTCGTGTGCACAATGTTTACCACGTCTCGTTACTGCGTCCCTACCGCAGACGGTCTGAGCGTTTCGCTGGACGACCATATGAGCGCCCTCCACCTATCATGATGGACGGCCACGAGGAGTTCCTCGTTTCAAACATCATTGGTCGTCGAGTCACCGACGACAACCCTCCTCACGTCGAGTATCTCATACGTTGGAAGGGTTACCCTGATTGAGGAGGCTTCTTGGGATCCCCTCGAGCACTTGCAGCACGATCGCATGTTCGTGCGTGCCTATAACCGTGCTCGTCGTGCTGGGTTGACTGCTCCTCCTCAGCCCGCTGACCCTCTTTCTTCTCCCTCGACTGAGGAGACCGCTAAAGTTGAGCCTACTCCATCTAAGGCAGACCTTCAGCAGCAGCCGGATGCTTATGAGCGTCCACGGCGCACTCGTCGTCGTCCTGCTCGATACGACGATTGACTCTGACTTATCTTCCCACGTCTTTCACTTCTCAGTATTTCATCCACTCCAGTTTTGCTACTTCAGCTCGTCGACGTTGCGTCTCTTCCTCGACGACATTCCGGACTTCTCTTCGTGGACGTCATTGGCAGCTCCACGGACGTCGTCACGATCATCTCTGCCTACTTCAGACGTCGTCACTCTCTTACCACTTTACCTTGTACAGTACCCTAGTTGTGTCGCCTGATGGTCTCCCTTAGTCGGGTTCCTCTGAGTTGGGCTTTCTCTTGGTATACGCATAGGCATCGGGACCGTAGCGTTGCCCTGGCTTCCCAACTTACGGATCTAACTCTGACTTCCCTCACCTTAGGAGTCATTTGCATGATTCCCTTACCCATCACTTTTTCTACCCTCTATCGGCCCTCACACCCTAGTTAGGCAGCCTTGCATACTTCATCTAGGTACGCCCAGTATACCAGGCTCCCCTATTCCCTTGCATGGTTGACCCTACATAGCAGTCAATGCCAGTCATGGTGTCATGTTCAAATTCGTAGTCAATCATGAGTTAAAAAATAAAAAATCGAAAAAAATATATTATTTTTTTTTTTTACGAAAAAAAATTGTTTTCGTTTGAACATGTTCGCAAGTTGTTCGCGAGTTGTTCGCGCGAATCCGCGAACGTGGAGGAGCGTGAACACGTTCGTCGTGCTACGCAAGGCAAGGAGTATCATTGCAATGTTGGTTCTTCCTCCACCACACCTCAAATAAAATAGACAATACAAAAGTTGTATACAATGACGAGCAGCATGAAAGGATTAATTGTCAGTGCTCACAACCCTCCAGTTCGCTAGTGACCTACAAAAAATTCTTGTTATATCCAACTAATGGTCATGGCTTCCAATCTTTACGGTACAATATGGCTAAGGGCGACCCCGAATTACCAATCTATCTTAGTTTTTTTTTCCTCGCACGATTTTTTTTTGCATTCACAACTCTTACCAAACCAGCATAGTGCGTGATTTTTTGGCAACACCAGTCTTCTTTCATTCACTAGGTTAAGTTGTCAGGCCATGGGGAATCAAAATACCTTTTTTTTTTTCAAAAGAAAAAGTCGATACAAACTTAATAGGAAATGTGATACAAGTCGCCCCCTCTAGTAGGCCTGCTAGTAGCCACTCCATCTATTAGTGGGGAGCATCACTTGCTAGAAATCAGGTCTGGCGTCATTTTCAACGTACTTTGATCCATAGGTGACATAGTTTGAGATATTAATAAATCTCATGCTGCAAATTTTACCTCCTCCCCCAACCATTGGACCTTGGATCTAGAAACTTAAGTACACGTATTTTACAACTTGTAACCTATTTTAATTTTGGAAACCTTGCAGATCCACACCAAACACCAACAGAGACCAATTAAAACTCACCAGTTTGACAACCAATCATTTATTATATATCAAACCAACTCTTATGAAAAAGACTCATTGAAGAGGGGGGCAAACAAATTTGGGAATGTTAAAAGAGGGTGGAGCGGTATAGAGGGCTCTATGGTCGTCCTGTTATGGAACACTAATTGATAGTCTTTATTTTAGGTCTTCCCGATTCCCTCCTAATGACCCACTTCATTGTATTGCGCTCAGTTTTCCCCTTTGGGTTCTCTCAAGGCAACATAGTGCACATCGTCGGCGCATAGTGTACAATATATGTTTGTATTTGCTATTTTATTGAGTTTATAAATTATGAACCATCAAGCCTAGCCCCCTCCATATCATGTGTATAGTGTTTGCTCATAATGTCCTGAAAACAACATGTCATCTTATATTAAAGAGAATGTGTGTAAAGGTGTCAAATTGAACAGGGTTTCAGGTTCCATACAACAATGTCTTTCAATCCCTGAGCCATGGATGAAAGTCACCGGATTGTTTAATATGTTGTACTATTTATGTTCCTGATGATAGACATTTAACGCAATCACTCACCTTTTTCCGTTGAGTAGTGACATATGTTTGTATTTGCTGCTTTATTGAGTCTATGAATTATGGACCATCAAGCCTAGCCCTCTTCATTTCATGTGTACATCGTTGACGCATAGTGTCCAGAAAACAACACGACGTCGAAATTTAAAGAGATTGTGTGTAATGGTGTCCTATTGAACTGGGTTTCAGATTTCATACAACATTTTTCAATCGCAGAGCCATAGTTGAGAGGTTCCCAACTGACCCTCGGTCCTAGCCCTCCACCTCTAGAGCCATACAACCCTCGGACATTGGAGAAACATATGCTCCGTGGTGTCAATGACGTTTCAATCAAGGAACGTAGTAGAACAAAATTTGCACCATAGTAAGGCAATATATCTCTGTTCTATGGAGATTCTCTCAATAATCTAGTTATATGTGAGTAAGTAGCGATGATGTACTTCAACTACTTAAATTTATCATTGCAGTGAAACTATTTTTGTTGGGTTGGATTAGATAGTAATGTAATATCACTTGATAGGACATAGAGATTGTTTACTTACATTAAGTTGGTGCATCCATCAAACCTCTATTTTATGTCGTAGGTGTACTTTACATCTGAGCATGTAATACTAGGTTGATTTAATTGTTAAGACTTGTAGCGATCAAGTACATAATCGACATTTTCCCGTTGTAATAGTCCATGTCCAGATGACTAGATCAGGGGATCAAAATACCTTGGTAATGTGTTGGTGGTTTTATACCACCACTTTGGATAATCCAAACTTTCCGGACCTGCTTTTCCCTTTTTACTAAGCCTGAGCGATCCATTTAGAGGTTGTTACCTTTGTGTGATAGTTGGTGGCAGCACAAATTTGTACAATTGATAGGGTCATACGGCTGCCGACGTAAGTCTTGATTTTTTTTCCTGCTATATTGTACAGACTACGTTACCGAACGTACACGTATGGGGTCTTTCCGTACAAAACGAACAGGTAATATATGTACGGGAACTTGTACGCCCCTGTACGCCACCGTACGAAAAAAAAAAAAAAAAAAAAAAAAAAAAAAAAAAAAAAATGTGTGGCAACATCACAAAACCTGTCTCTTATACACATCTAGATGTGTATAAGAGACAGGGCCCAGGGCACATCAAGTCCACGCTCCGCTGCGTA